AAGACTCCACCTGGTTCAACTTCTTTGCTAGTTGAGGAACACCGCAACTATCTGCTAGACCGCTGTATACCTATGCGTGACATAAATGGATAAAAATCAGTATATATATGTAAGTGAAAAAGCTAGAACATAACTATGCATAGGAACTTCCTTACAGGACGACTGCGGAAAAACTTCTCTTCAGCAACAAGAGCATCCTTTATACTCCGGTTCATTAGAATATCCTAATTTAACAAAGCAATAGACAAACCATATTTCAGCATTACACATTTTCCTGCATGCTAATCAAGCAATTTGCATATGCATATTTATTTGCAAAGTGCCCTTACGAATCATATGTATATACATACAATAACCAGTAATTTTAACAGAATATCTAACAGAAACGTGCAAGTTTAAATTAGTTAAACACTGCCTTCTTTGCAGTAGAATAACATCATACCTCCTGACTGCGATTCACAACGCCTACATAACCAAGTCGGAGGGGAATAACTTTTCCTAGTAACAGATTTCGGGCATCAGTACCTCTGTCCATGATGTCCAACTACATTCCAAATAATATGTGCCTAACATTGTCAGCATAACAAATTTCACAAATATTAGTGTAAATTAGAATGTCAGAAGATTATACTGAACCTTTGTGATTACACCAATTGTTCTGTTACCTGCAACAGATACAGAAACATTTAAATACCAATTAAAGAGATGTGAAAATATCAAAGTTTTAGGCATATGGAAGTAAAAGCCCACCATCAGGATCAGCAATTCCTGCCATCTGAAGAGCATCTGAATTAGCCAAATCTGAATTTGCCGGTGTGACAGCTAGAATGAGACAGGTGGGAGTTTTGATGTATGACATGATCATTGTTCTGATTCGGGCTTCAATATCAGAAGGCTGGTCACCAACAGGAACCTTTGTTATGCCAGGCAGATCTACAAGTGTGATATCAAGAACATTTGGTGAAAAAATCTTCAGCCGAATCTGCTTGTCTGAGACACCTTTGTTCCCTCCCGCTTCCCTATCAGTTTCAGCCTACAGAAAGAGGATAAAGATATGCAAGTCAAAAGTCACATATATAGGGAAAAGGATTAAACTGGTACACTGTAAACCTTATCAAACTCTACACAGATGCAAATATTGGAAATCTCAATTTCAGCTACCTTTCAAGCTTAAAAACATGAAAATCAGTTCAAATGGATTATGGATTTCAACCAAGACAGTAATTACCAGTCAATAACATTATAGCAGTGCTGATGGTGCACTGAAAGCTGCTGTGACAAATGAGGAAACAATATACCTCAAAGTTCATTCAACTATTTTACATTCAATTGTACTCCAATCTATTAATGCGAAATGATCAAATCTCTAAAATATCGATTTGTTCCACTCTATGGTTGGACCATCGGATGCCATAATCTCATAATATCAACTTCAAATATATGGACGTGACCATTGAGGATCACTATCGGATTGCTCCTCATTCTACTCAGTTATGTGATGGTTAACTGGGCTGTGTGTGCGTGTTTCTTGTCGGTAACTGGGGAAAGCATGTTAGCCTTCTTCTCTGGATAGAGAAAATAATCATCATGATTGAAAGGGATCACCCTCATTATCTCTAAAACTGATGTTAAGGATTCTCCCTTCCAAACATGGTGAACCTCAGCCAAACAACCACATAAATAAAAAACCAGGAAAATTCCTTTCTCCAAGGTTATGAACTAAATGATCACCACCTTCTCATCCATCAAGATAAGTTAGGAAATTTCAGATGTCAACGGCACATGTTTGGCTGAGGTGAAAATACTTCAAGCAGGCTAAGATTCTTAAGGATTCAAATATCCCACCTCATGCCGTGCTTGTTCCACATTCCTACGGTTAGACATATGATGGATATAAAAGATTATAAATTGTCACAACAAATAAACTATGGAGTATGGGATTGATCCTGCAGGCAGAAAATGCTAAAATTCGAAATATCCTTGAAAATTTGCTCCACGTCACTTCTAAAATCTAAACATAGAAATTTCACACTAGACTCCTAAACTAGAACGCTAAAGATTTTCCACATCCACTTCCACTGACTAGTATTATATATTACACTTGAACAAGAACAAGCAACGAAGCAGAAACAGTTTGTACTAAAAAATAAACGGACCTGAATTTCCCTGCGAATATCGGAGAAATCGTGGAACCTCTTGCCAGGTAAGTGGAGGAACTCGCCGTACTCTTCGTCAAGGGCATCGGGTTTCTTCTTGGTCTGAACAAGCTGGAGGACGAGGGGTCTGCGTGTGCAGATGTCGTTGCCGCGTGGGAGGAAGTCGCGGCCGACGAGTGCCTCGAGGACGCTTGACTTGCCGCTGCTCTGGCTGCCGACGACGGCCACTTGTGGGAGGTCGATGGTGGATTGGCTGCCGACGCGGGCGAAGATGTCCTGAAGCCTGTTCACTAAGGAGATCACGCTAGAACCCAGAGGAGCTGCAACTGCAACACCCTCCTCCGCCATGATAGTGATTCGATCGCTCTATTCAAGGAACCCTACCTAGGGTTTCGTTTTGATTTCAAACGGATTGGAGAAGAATAGTAGAATGGGGACTCTCTCACTCGCTGCTTCTCTTGCGTTTGTTTGTGTGGAGAATTCGAAATGAAGCTACTAATCATATACATGTGACTTGTGATTTTGTGTGGGGCTTTAACTCCTTGCTGCCATTGATGCCAACATTTACTATAAAATAATATTTATTATTATTAAAATATTTATTTATGAGTAAATATCTTTTTTGGTCCTAAGCGTCCGCTTTAGTTCTTAGCAAATAAAAAGGCCCATAATGGTTCCTGATAAATTCAAAATGAATTCATTTAGTTAAAATTGTGATTCCTTACAAATTAAAAAAAACTCATATTAATCTCTCGAAAAGATTAAAATGGATCCATTTTGCATTTCTTTTCTTTTTTTTTGGACATTACAGGGAATCGAACTGCACACCTAATACACACTAAACACACTCAACACCATTAGGTTATCCCTAGTGGTGCCATTTTGCATTTCTTAAGGACTACAATAAACCTTTTTATGTGGGGACTGAAACGGATATTGTAAAATTTACAGAGGACAAAAAAAAATATTTAGTCTTTATTTATATAGGAGTGGGAGGGGGCAACGGTAACTCACACAACGCAAGCCTTGCGCGAAAGAACGTAAATATATCATATAAATTATCGAATATTCAATAATACCGATTTATATTATAGAATTAAAAGTAACTTTGCCATATGCTACTAATAATAGTAATCTCATAATCATTACTTGCAAGTTGCATAAGTATACTTATAATAATAGGTATACATGGATCGTGGGAAGTGGACTACCAGTACCGCTTTCTTGGGATATTGACACTTATATCACTGTTTGAAATATTATTTATCACAACATCACAATCCATTGAAATTTTTTCAAAATATCACTCACATTCTCGCTTTGTCAACTAGTGAGACTGAATTGGACACGTGAGAGGGTCTTGCAGGCTATAACTCTCGTCGAACAGTGTAACGAGATTTGTGATCGATGTGGCAGATTGCCACATCTGCAAAAAAAAAAACTATCCACTTGACTAATCTCGTTAGGCTAACTAATAAGATTATGTGGACTTTTTTCACGTGTCACACCTTGCGTATCTCGCTGGGCTGGTGATCGAGTTTGTCTAAGATGTTTCCACGTGTTAGCACTTTGACCTATCTCGTTGGGTTGCTAACCGATTTCAATAATTCTATATATAATAACTAAACTTCGTTTCTTTTAATGATACATAATTAGAGAATTAAATATGTACCTCACACTTCCATCTACCCATATTCATAGGTGATTGTATGCAATGTCTTTGCTTTTATATTTATACTATAATATGAAGAAAAAAAAAATATCATAATTCTTTTGTCCTAATTTTTTTAATGAGTTAATACTATTGTTATCTCTTTAAAAATAAATATTTTCTTACAACTTTAATTTATTCAATAATTACCCTTATTTTTTTAAAATTTATAATTAAATACTATCAATTTTTTTCCCAGACCAGCATACCCCCTTCTAAAATATTTTTTTGTCTTGAAATAACTGAATTTCTTTCATTAATGCACATGTAAATTTTGGCATTTATAAAGTAACAAAACCTAATAATTACTTATAAATATAACTTAAATGATAATTAGCATGGTACTCTCGTAGTGGCTACACATAACTCGCTAGTCTCCCAGCAAGATTCATGCAATTGTGACATGTGTCACATATGCATCTGTTATGTGTATGGTTGCCACTAATCGTGGTCAGTAGCCCAGTGAGATACGCAAAGTGCTAACACGTGAAAAAAATCACCAAAAATCACCTAATCTCGATGGACAGTCCAACGAGTTTAGTCAAGTGGACAACTTTTTACAGATGTAGCAGTCTGCCACATTGATCACAAATCTTGCTACACTGCTGAGCAAGATTTGTGGCCTGCAAGATACTGTCATGTGTCCAATTTAGTCTCGCTTGTTAGCGTAGCGAGAATGTGACGTGACATTTTGAAAAAATTACAATAAATCATAGCATTGCGATAAATAGTACTCAAAGAGTGACAAAAGGGTAAATGTCCCCGTTTCTTCAATTATTTCTTATGGGCGTTTCAGGTTGCGGTCTGTTTGGGCCATATTAGTTGGACACTAAGCCGGGCCTACCGAACCTTCCTTCGTAATCATATATTTGATATTTAGCGCCCTCTAGCTCTAGCTCTAGTTTGTTGAGTAGTTCACTTTCTCTCACTTGTTCGGTTATTCCAATGTCCAAACAGAAGAAGAAGGCTGTTACAACGACTTTCGAAGAAAGAGAAAGGAACCTTTTTCCCGCCCCAATGCCACTTTCCCGAGAAAGTTCATTTTCCCTCTCAAATTTTCCGGCAATATCCATGGTCCGGAATCACCCTCGCCGTAACCATTGCCCTTGTGGATACTTATCCTTATCTACCGTATGCATAGTTGCCTTCGCCGTCTATCTGATCACACAATTCATCTTCTCCTCACAGCTACTCTCACACCTGAAGGTTAGTTAGTTTTCTTTGTTTTCCCCCTCTTATCTAGCTCCAATTTCACGGTCATTCGATTTCGTTTCTGTGAAGCTCCATTCCGATGCACCGTGCAAAGTACATTTATCTTCGGGCGTGTTCCACTCACCGGAGGCTTTCGACTTGGACTATGAGAAGATGGAGGAGGAGTTCAAGGTTTTTGTGTACCCTGACGGAGATCCTGAGACCTATTTCCACACGCCGAGGAAACTCACCGGGAAATACGCAAGTGAAGGCTATTTCTTCAAGAACATCGGAGAAAGTCGGTTCTTCACTCGTGATCCTCAACGAGCTCACCTCTTCTTCATTCCCATTTCTTGCCACAAAATGCGAGGCAGAGTATGTCCTATTTTCTTTCTTCGCCTTTTCAGCTCAAAATGATTAACAAGAAATTCGCCATTCGTTGTACAGATTTTCAGGCGTAAGCTTTGCTATTTATCCAAACCAATTGTGTTGCTAATTCTTCTTATATTGCAGATAATAGCTGAAAATATTAGAACTATTAGGTTGATGTTGCTTAATAATATACCAGTTTCACCATTGGATTCGATTTGTTTTCCATCAAATGGTACAATCATGCAAGAACCCTGTTTGTTTATATCTACCATCATCTATCCGTCTCATCTGCTCATATCATGGTCTAGCTAATTCTTCCTAATCTAATGATGAACTTCAGAGATTAAATTTGCTTAAAAATAAAATTCTTCATATATCAGCAATAGATTCTGGAATACCAGACTACCAGTGCGCGTGGTGGATGTATGACATTTAAGTGTTGTGGTCACGGTGGCAACACGGTTCCCAGATTGTTTGAGATGTGAGTCTAATGCACATTTGGATTACGCAGGGGTTGACTTACGAGGGTATGACTTATGAAGTCGAGAAGTATGTGGAGAGGCTAAAATTCAAGTACCCTTATTGGAACAGAACCTTAGGTGCTGATCACTTTTTTGTGACTTGCCACGATATTGGTCTCGAGGCTACTAAAGGAGTTCCACATCTGGTGAAAAATTCGATTCGAGTGGTTTGTTCATCTAGTTATGACGATGATTATATTCCACATAAGGATGTTACCCTCCCTCAAGTTCAGCTTCCATTTTTACACCCTGCAGGGGGGAATGACATAAAGAACAGGTAGCTCCACATTATTTTAAATCAACCCAACAAAATTATTCTGTTAAAAAACTGGAATCCTTTCACCTATCAGAAACAGAAATTTCAATTCATGTCCATGCTAATATTGCAGGAATTCACTTGCTTTCTGGGCTGGTCGTTCTGATTCTGAATTGAAGGATGAACTTGCAGCTATGTGGGACCATGATACTGAACTTGACATCCAGAACAACAGAATTGATCTTCGAGCTACTGGGCCTATTGTATATATGGAGAAACTTTATAAGTCCAAGTTTTGTTTGTGCCCTCATGGGCCAGTCGGTAGCAGCCGTATCGCAGACTCGATCCATTATGGGTGTGTTCCAGGTAAACCATATCTGCATGACTTCTGTTAAAAACTGTTGATATATGTTATTTATCAGCATGCATGTGTATAAGTTGACACTGCATCTGATATTTAGTCGATAAGCTCATGATAGTTGGTTAGACTAGTTAAGCTTGTTATGATAGTTGGTTAGACTAGTTAAGCTTGTTAGATAATTGGTTAGCCTTGTTGGCATTTCTGTTAGAGACTAGAAGCTATTCAGTTAGTTAGTTTTTCACTGAACTCTAGTATAAATGGAGTTCTTCTTTGTATAGTACACAGATTATTGAATACAGAATATTCTTCAGATATGAATTCTCTCCTTTCTCTCGTTTCTCTCTCGGGTTCTGATATGGTATCAGAGCTCTGAGGGAGCTCTGGTATCTTGTTGATATCAAGAAACTTCTTTCGTCCTCTTTCTTCATTTTCTTTTTGATTCCTATGGCGAATCCAAACCAAAGCTCCCTTCCAGATCATCTCACGAACCCGGCCAATCCACTGTATCTGCATCCATCAGAAAATCTGAATCTTGTTTTAGTTACACCACTTCTCAATGGCAAGAACTTCCACTCTTGGCAAAGATCGATGAAAATGTCTTTACGATCTAAGAACAAGCTGAGTTTTGTAGATGGAACGTTCAAGATTCCAGATGAGAATGATGCTACGTTTTCTGCATGGGATCACTGTAACACAATGGTTCTGCAATGGATTCATCACTCCATTGAAGGATCTATTGTGAAATCAATCATATGGATGGAGAAGGCACATGAAGTTTGGAAAGATCTCAATGAGAGATTTTCACAAACGGATGTGTTTCGGATTGGTGATATACAAGAAGATATTCATCGTCTTCATCAAGGAGAATGCACAGTAAGTGACTTCTTCACTCAGCTAAAGACTTTTTGGGATGAATTAGAGAATCTTCAGCCTGTACCAGATTGCACCTGTGGAGCAGCAGACAAGTTCAAGAAAAATCGTGAGGAGAATCAAGTCATAAGGTTCTTGAAAGGCCTAAGTGACCAGTTCTCTCACGTACGCTCACAAATCATGTTAATTGATCCACTTCCGAACATGAACAAAGCTTTTTCTTTGGTAATTCAGCAAGAGCGTCAAATGAATTCTGAAAATGTGATCGAATCTGGCATGGAGACAAAAGCATATGCTGTTGATCAGCAACGGACTCGAAATTTCGTTCCAAACAAATTCAAAGGTGGCAGAGGAAGAGGAATGAAGCTGTGCACTCACTGTGGACGTAACAACCATACAGTGGATACATGCTATGTTAAGCATGGATATCCACCAGGTTACCGATACAGAAACAATGTAGCTTCCGCCAATGCAGTAGAAACTTCTGATAATTCTAATGATGTGAAGAAAGATTGTGAATCTGTCACTATCAGTCAAGAAGAATATCGAAACCTTACTGATCGTTTTCATCAGTCGAAGATGGAAACAGGAAATGAAAGCACTGCCTCTCACAGTGCGCACATGATTCAAACCACTCAAAGCATGGCTTTGAATGCTAATACTGGTAAGAATTCTGTCCAATGGATCGTTGATACAGGGGCAACTGATCACATAGCTTCTACACTTTCTCATTTTTCTTATTTTAAGAAAATTGACCCTGTCTTGATCATGCTTCCAAATGGACACAAAGTTTCAGCACAATACTCTGGCACAGTTATCTTGTCTTCATCTTTGAGGCTTATTGATGTGTTATATGTGCCTGCATTTCGAGTAAATTTAATTTCGGTTGGGAAATTATTAACTCAATATGAACTCACATTTCGTGATGTTGTTTGTCATATTAAGCAGATCCCTTCGAGCCAAGTAATTGGTTCGGCTAGATTGGACAAAGGGCTTTTTGTTCTGGAGGCTGAGGACTTGCCAAGACACAAGACAGAGACTTTTAATATGTCCTCTGATAGATATAATAATTGTGTCAAGCCACTCCTGGCTATTAATGCTTTCTCTACTCATAATGTCAGCAATGTATCTGCTGATCCTTCTTCCCTTTTATGGCATTACCGGTTAGGTCACATTTCTGATTCAGTGATGGCAGATATGTGTAACCAATTCTCATTTGTACATTGTAATAAGGCAACAGCTCCTTGTGATGTTTGCCATTTTGCTAAACAGCGAAAGTTACCCTATTTGCACAGCAACAGTGTTTCACAAAAGCCTTTTGATCTCATTCACACAGATATTTGGGGCCCCTTTTCTGTTCCCTCGTTCAATGGTGACAAATATTTTTTAACCATTGTGGACGATTTTTCAAAATTTACTTGGGTGGTGTTGATGAAACATAAAGGAGAAACACGTAATCATTTACGCAACTTCTTTAAATTGATTGAGAATCAATTTAGTACAACTAATAAAGTGATTCGGAGTGATAATGGTGCCGAATTCATGATGACTGACTTCTATGCAAGTAAGGGAATAATTCATCACACTTCTTGCGTCCAAAGCCCACAGCAGAATGGTGTGGTGGAGAGGAAGCACCAACACATTCTTAATGTAGCAAGAGCTTTGTGCTTTCAAGCCAAACTCTCTTTGAATTTCTGGTCCTTTTGCGTTTTACATGCTGTGTATCTCATTAATCGAGTTAGCACTCCTCTTCTTGGTGGAAAGACTCCATATGAGACACTTCATGATCAGTCACCCTTGCTCGCAGATTTAAAGGTGTTTGGTTGCCTCTGCTATGCAAGTTCTCTCTTCACTGGTCGTACGAAATTCACTTCTCGGGCTCGAAAGTGTGTGTTCTTAGGTTACAAACTAGGAACCAAAGGATATGTTCTTCTGGATCTTCTTTCTCATGAAGTTTTTTTTTCCAGAAACGTCGTTTTCTATGAGAATCATTTCCCTTTCCATGATACTTTCCACCACTCTTCTCCTCACACTGAAACACAAGCCAGTCACTATTTACCTGATGATTTTCATTTTCCTATTGATCCTATTATTCCCATACCTGAGGAACCCATCATACCTCAAACACAACTTTCTCCTGCACTTGATTCTTTACCTCATACAACCAATATTCAGACACCAACTGATACCTTACCTGAACCTCCTCGTCGTTCTACTCGTACACGACGCAACCCCACTTACCTAAATGACTTCCATTGTAACCTTACTGCCACAACACCATATCCTTTAACTTCTTTCCTCAGTTACACTTCCTGTCCTTCTACTCACTCCAATTTGTGTTACAATATTAACACTATTAATGAGCCCCAGACTTACAGTGAAGCTGCTCAGCACCTTTGTTGGAGAGAAGCCATGGCTTCTGAGCTCAAGGCTCTTGACCAGAATCACACTTGGTCCCTCACCAATCTTCCTCATGGCAAACACCCTATCGGGTGTAAATGGGTTTTTAAAACCAAGCTACGTGCTGATGGCAGCATTGAACGCCATAAAGCACGCCTCGTCGCCAAGGGCTACACCCAACTCGAAGGTGTGGATTTCCTTGACACTTTCTCTCCGGTTGCAAAGGTTGCTACCATAAGAATCATTCTCAGTGTTGCCACTGCCCGCGGCTGGCATTTGGAGCAACTCGACGTTAACAATGCGTTCCTACACGGAGAACTTCATGAAGAGGTTTATATGAAGTTGCCTCCTGGAGTTGAATCCACTTCGCCCAACCAAGTCTGTAGATTACAAAAATCCTTGTATGGGTTGAGACAGGCTAGTCGACAGTGGTACTCACGTCTCAGTACTGCACTTATCTCCATTGGATACAAACAATCCGAAGCTGATCACTCTTTACTTACCAAGGTCACTTCGACTTCTTTCACAGCTTTACTGATTTATGTTGATGATATTGTTTTGGCAGGAGATAGTATGCAAGAAATCTCTGCTGTTAAATCCTTTCTGGATGCTGAGTTCAAAATCAAAGATCTGGGAAAGCTGCACTATTTCCTTGGTCTTGAGATTTTGCGAACACCAGAAGGTTTAATCATTAATCAACGCAAGTATGAGTTAGATTTGATTGCAGATGGTGGCATCATTGGAGCTAAACCATCTTCCACACCGATGGAACCTGGAACGAAGCTTGACCGAGAGTTTGGCACACCATATGAAGATGTTGGCAAATATAGAAGACTCATTGGCAGGTTGCTATATTTGACCACTACAAGACCTGATGTTTGCTATGCAGTCCAGCAACTCAGCCAGTTTGTTTCGCATCCCACTGATTTACACATGAAGGCTGCATTACATGTACTGAGATACATCAAAGGTACTGAGATACAAACAACCTTGTGCCTAGTGGTTTTGCGGATTCCGACTGGGCAACGTGTTCTGATTCCAGACGCTCCATCACAGGATTTTGTGTGTTCTTGGGTACTTCGTTGGTAGGCTGGAAATCGAAGAAGCAGACGACAGTTTCTAGGAGTTCGTCCGAGGCAGAATATCGAGCATTAGCCTCTTTAACTTGCGAGTTACAGTGGCTTCGATACATTTTGCAAGACTTGAATGTTGAGGTTCCTAATCCGATCTCAGTTTACTGTGATAATCGTTCAGCCATATACTTGGCTCATAACCCCAGTTTCCACGAAAGAACGAAACACATAGAGATCGATTGTCATTTAATCCGTGAGAAGATTAATTTAGGCCTCATTCATCTTCTTCCAGTTTCCTCTGCAGCACAGTTGGCTGATTCATTTACCAAGAATCTGTCTCCAGGACCTTTTAAGCTTTTGATTGACAAGTTGGGATTGGTTAATATACACCATCCACCTTGAGGGGGGTGTTGATATATGTTATTTATCAGCATGCATGTGTATAAGTTGACACTGCATCTGATATTTAGTCGATAAGCTCATGATAGTTGGTTAGACTAGTTAAGCTTGTTATGATAGTTGGTTAGACTAGTTAAGCTTGTTAGATAATTGGTTAGCCTTGTTGGCATTTCTGTTAGAGACTAGAAGCTATTCAGTTAGTTAGTTTTTCACTGAACTCTAGTATAAATGGAGTTCTTCTTTGTATAGTACACAGATTATTGAATACAGAATATTCTTCAAATATGAATTCTCTCCTTTCTCTCGTTTCTCTCTCGGGTTCTGATAACCACAACTTCTTATGTTCTGTTCTCTTCAAATTTTTGCTTTCATTTTTCCTTTTTTTAGTTAGTTATCTCCTCGTTTTATTAATTTGTTTATAGCTCTACTGCAATGCAAGTAATACACATGTATAGGGGGTTTTGCGTCCAGAAAATTGTTCTGGCTCTTGGAAAGAGTCTCCAATAAGGAGTAACGTGTATTATATTTGCTGGCTGTCCAACAGAATTTATTCTTTGGAACGTACGGGCATATTTGTAATAGAATAATGCTCTAAGTAACTAACCACCTTAGTCCCACTCCCACTTTTGCTCTTGAGAAAAGTGTAGATATATTCTTTTTGTGTTCGCTTTTTCTACAGTATATAGATAACTTATCTACAGTGAGTTCAAAACGACATTGTTTTGAGGCAGAAACCAAGGTATTTTTATAATTATAATTTATTTTAAGGTTATAATAGTCGTTTTTATTATAATTTTTTAACCAAAAATAACGTCGTTTTGGGAGCGAATGTAGATAATTTATAGGAAGCTAATCTATCACATAGTAGAAGAAAATTAAAAAAAAAAAGTGAAAGAAAATGGCCAAGGTCAAGAGATCCCTTCCTGAGTAAACCTGACCAGTACGGAGTCATGTTGGTAACCTGGTACCACATTTAAGTATTTCTTACAGCCGCATTTTATGCAAAAATGGCTGTGCCTGCATAATTCCTTCTGTTAGTTAAGTTATTACCTTCGGAATTTTGGCTCCAGCCATTTCTGCCATTCATAATGGAAAGAAATGAACTGGACTAGTGTGGTCTTTCTAGTCTGTCTATTTATGTAGCTTACCTCCAACTTTTCGTTACACTTCACATATGATCTGTGCTATTAATTAGCATCCATTGAAAATATGTTGTTCACTGTCTCCCTACTTCCTAGCTTGTCTGTAATGCAATCTCCTAACGAAAGTTCTTGTCCGACTTTCTGCAGTCATCATGTCAAACTATTATGACTTGCCTTTTAATGATATCCTGGATTGGAGGAAATTTTCTGTTATACTGAAGGAAACTGACGTCTATCAGCTGAAAGGCATTCTCAGAAACATATCTGAGAAACATTTCATGACATTGAACCAAAACTTAGTGCAGGTACTACAGAATATAACAACTAAATTTCAGTTTCTTAAACTTGTAAATGTTAATTATGCCGATTTTGTGTATAACTGTGAGATAGCCAGCATCTTAATATCACATAGTTTATGTTACTAAACTTCTGATACCACCTTAACAATACTTTGCCAATACAAAGTATGCTCGAAGTTTGCAAAAATGAGACATTGAGTATTTCTCGTAACCTCTATTTTTACTGTCCATTTTTTCTAATTTTCTGTTTGTGTGATTCAGGTCCAGAAGCATTTCAACTGGAATACACCACCAGTCAGGCTAGATGCTTTTCATATGGTCATGTACGAACTCTGGCTACGCCGCCATCTGATTAGGTATTGACTTTTTCAATAAACTCATGCAGTATTATCGGAGGCAAGGAATCGTATCTGTACATAAATGTTGATTCACCTCACCTGACCCCAAGTTGGTAATTCCCCAGAATAAATTGTAACCCGAATTGAAACTTGTTTTACCACATTATAATTTCTGTTTAAAATGAGTAAAGTAATAGAACCTCTTTTAGCAGAAGAAATGTATAGTTCCGTATGAAACCCCAATACCTTGCAAGAGATAAACGGAATTTAGTGAAAAATGTGTTTGCGTGAAAGCAAGAGATGCTGGTATATGAGTTTGGCATACTACTAAAAAAGCTGTTTTGAGTTCTGGTCTCTCCAGCGAGTGCTCGCACACAGAATTCAATGTGACAATTTTTGAACTTCTTAGTTAACCCCAAAAAAGAAATTTCAGATTTCAAGTGCCACTGAATACAAAGCCATCGACCAACTACGTCTTGAGCTCCTTGTGAAAAACCAAATTTCAATCACCACAAACGTTATACTTTATAGCGCTGCCGCGATTCAGTCGTGTTCATTAACCAACCGTAATCTGCGTTTTATACGTGCTATGTTGAGTCAATCACCACAAACTGTTCCTTGTACTAAAAAATAAATAAAAAAAGCATTTGTAATTTTCATTTGCGCTTTCCCATCTCTCGATGGGAATTGAGCTTTTGGTTAAGTGATCAAAAGCATTATAAAAAGGGTTTTATTAATCTCATGTTAAAGGAGATAATTATCTCATGTCATAAAGACAAACTAGTGGGCTTCACCATCTAAAAAAAAGGTGACACAGTTATCGAAGGGTGTGTATGAGAGAAAATTTATCTCATGTGACATGAGAATAGTTTTTCCCTTATAAAAATCAAGCATTCAGCTATTTCATTAATCTTTTACATATTTATCCCTTTTTTTTTGCGCCTCGTATAAATAAGATATAACTACGAATGTAGCTGTCTTGAGATCTATTTAATTATGTAAAATTTGAACAACTTAAATATCAAATACAGTATTGGCCTTCTTTCAGTATTACCCTTTCTCTCATCCAATTATACTTTAAAAAATGGTTTCATAAAGAACAAAACCAGTGTACAATGAAGGCAGAAGAAAAGGGCAAAAGCGGAAACTATGTACATCATATAAATCAAATCTGGGACCAATTTGATGTACAGAAACTATCATTTATAAGAAAATTCTGAGCCCGCAATCATAATTCACAGTGCTTCCAGAAATAATTTGTCTAAAAAACATGAACCATATCTGGAAGTGTAATGTTAGTTGATCCAGCATTGCTCATTCGTTTCCACCGCACACGAACCATGTGTGTCAATAAGTAATCCAGTAAAACCTCATGTTAGAATCGTCAACGTCAACGTCAACCTGTAAGTCAGTGGTATAAGCTTATTTAAGATAGAAGAAGGCTTATGACAAGCCATTGAAAACTGGTAAATGCTCATCAAAACCTGCAGCAATCTCAAATTCTATACCAGAAGCATCAGCAAGATCTTCAGTTGCATTATCCTGCAATCCTCTTAAGTATAACGTTCCGATTCTCAAACAACTTCCTAATATTGGGGGCTGGTATCACCTCAACCCTTTTCAAAACTTCTGTCTCTCATAAGGATACCTCCTCAATTGTTCAAAAAAGGGAAAGGAAAAAAGAATACCTGTTGATGTAAGCTAAGAGCATGATTCTCCACTTGGACAGATAAGGACTACAGTTAAACTGATGATCATTATCCACACGGGGGAAAAGAGGAAGATACCTATCATCGGTATGGAAGACACTAATTCAAAAGCTCTGCATTCTTGGTAACCTGACCTGGTCTTTCTATTTGTATGCTGGAATTATGTATGACTATCTCATGAATATGATCCCCCTACTATGCACTCGTTTGAGTGCTGTGCACCCATGAGCTGCTTCTCTAATCATTCCTCTACAATTATCAAAGCTCCTAAATTTTAGGGCCTGAACTTTTAATTCAAACTTCTGATCTCTAGGGTTCGCACACTACTTCAGGAAATTGATTGACCTGGATCTTCTCAATGACACTCATTGGAATTCGGAAGCTAAAAAGTCTTTGAATTCCATGCAAGTTGAGCATACTAAGCTTAAAGATCACAAATTTGATCAAATTGTTAATTTGACATCCTTCAATCGTCTAGTCAAGGAAATTTCCAATACGAGCAAATAAGACAAATTTCCTCTTGATTGCTCCCATTAAAGAAAAAGAAAAAGTCCAACGGATACAAACAAATAAATAACCATATAAAAAACTGTTCATTTGGCCTATCAGGTTTAGTTTCCTCTGGGCTTCCCTGATGAATAATTAAAAAAAAAAAAAAAAACTCACAGTCCAATGGAAGAGGAATCTGATTCCATGCATGCAAACAAAAATATACAACTATTTGAGCAACAATCAGCATTAGCAACTAACAAGCACAAATTTGAAAAACCAAGCATTTGCTTCATATGGACCCTTTAACAGTATACCAAATACAAGGTAACTTGGCCTTGAAAGTGTTTTCCTTATCTTTAATGGGCTAATCTACTACAGTTCTAAAAGAAACATCAATTAGGATTCTCTACTCAATGAAATCAGGAAAAGAATTCCGGTCCTCTTGTAGGAGTGAGTACACAGTCCTACTGGCACTCAAATTTAGCCAAGCAGTTCAATTTTCCGAATCATTTTTACTGACATGGCATATATTTCTCCTGCAAATCATCCACCAACTTACCTCACCTCGCTCTCTATAGCTGACCATCACCACCAGATGGGTGACAAGACAAGGTGGAAATGGCCGATGATTTCCGCATCATGGAGCTGCTACTCAACCTCAATAAAGCTCAGCCACCACCCCTTGCGAAGAAAGCCATTAGCTATCCTCAGCTCTACCGGACAATGCATCAGCATGATTGATGACCTTGGATAATGTGGAAAAATGAACCATGTAACTCCATAATTAATAAATGTTCACAAAAATCCAAAGAAGATTATCAACACCACAAGAAAATAAAAAAACAAAAAAGAAACAGAAATGAGAAATCATGAGAGTAAAAGCAATACATACCAGTTCATTTTGTTCAAAAGTGATCCTTCCTGCTTTGCTGAGATTTCTCAAAGTTCCCTTCACATCAATTAAGCATGTAAGTGATGATAGGTAATTGCATATTACAAATAAGATTACCGTAATCACTTTAGGCAGCATGGGAACATGAAATTGCTCAGTATGTAATAGATTACTCCTGCATATTGGGCAAGAAATGTTAAGTAGTCGAAAACAGTATCATGCTTCTGGTTGAAGGTGCCATAAATAATATTCATCGAGTTGATGAAAAAATCCTCCCTTCAAAGCATGAAACAACCGACGATATATAACAATTGTGAATTATCAAGGATCCCATCCCATCAATAGAACTTAATAAAAACAGTTACACAAGAGTAGCTCTTTCCTGCCATTACTCTCCTAAATCACGGTGCAATATACAACTGTAGTATCTTTTATGACCTTAAAGATCCATCGAGTTAGATGTGATGTAATTGTGATAGAATGTAATGAATAACAAGGAAGCGCAGTGGTTGCTAAACAACAAAAAATGGAACCTTTTCTGGGGTAACAGCTGAGTAAACATAGACCTCGCCTTCAAAGGCAATGGTGAGTTCAGTGGTTCGAGATTTCAGAGCACAAGCATTAGTTCCAGATAACCGAGCTTCTTCCACCTCATCCACCTGCATGGGAACCAGCACCAGTTTATGAGAAAAAAATTTGGTATGATAACCCTTTAAAAGGGGGGATACAAAGTGAGAGGGCAAAACGACCATACTACGGTCAATTTTCAAAAGTATCTCCGGTTGATGATACAATTGAAAAGTATGTCTAATATAGGGCTTTTTGACCCTTATGCCCCTTAATTAATAATTAATTACCAAATTGCCCCTCGTTCAAAACTATTTCGAAAATTTACCCTCCCCAACAAACATAACACCAATCTGCCCCTGTTTGACCGTTGACCACGAAGCCTACCCGGGTACACCATTACCTACCCGGGTAAATTTTGAAACCTTTTATCTACCCGAGTATGTATGGGTGTACCCGGGTAGAGTTCTTGAATCTGGAAAAATGTTTGAATTATTTACCCGGGTACGGAGCAGTGTACCCGGGTAAATCGCGTCCAGAAACCCCAATATGTATGGGTTTCGGCCATTGTTGCGAGGTATAGGGTTTTTGAAACCCCAAATCTTTCTCTCTTACCCTCTCTAATCCGAAACATCACACATATTTCATCTCATCATTTCAGAAAGCTGAATCTTGGTGGGACATTGAGATTACATCTCCACACTCCCATTTTGTGCTATTCGTGGTACCCGGGTAACTCGTAATGATCTACCCGAGTACATCCTACCCGGGTAGACTATTCGTGGTACCCGGGTAGACCAGTTGCAGATGCTGTTCCAGATGCTGTTTTGGCAATTTTTGTTGCATTTTGGTAATTGTTGTGCAATACCTACATACGGTATGACTTGGGGGTGGATTGATTTCGTAGAAATAGGATGCAGTAATCAAGATGTGCGCCAATCAAAGTTGAACATGAATATTAAACTACTTTGGGTTGAATTGATTTCCAAATTAATTATGACAATATTAATGCAAGGTCCCATACTAATGCATAGAACCAACAAGTCTGAACGTGCGCAAAACGAAAATTTCATTCATTCAAATTTTGAACATCCAGTACAAAAACATCCATGCAATGTAGGTAAAGTTCCTAAATGTACCAAAATGACTACATTACATCAAACTAAATCAATGATATGAAACCCTATGGACACACTAATCCGATGCCGTGTCCTCCCCATTCTCTTCATCCGATTGTGTGTCATCCCCATTGTCATCATCCTCCTCCTCCTCCTCCTCCTGAGTATGGGCACCCTCGCCAATTAAACCCTCCAAGCGTGAAACCCTTGTGTCCAACCGTGCAACCCTTGTGTCCATCTGGTTTCG